AAAGAAGGAAGGAAAATGAAGGAGAGAGGAAGAAAAGGATGGATGGACGGATGGACACAGGATAGGATACTTGATGGAGATAGTTAAATGCATGAATGAATGGATAGGATACATGATGGATGGATAGATAGATAAACAGACAGACAAACAGACCCTCCCAGTCTTTCCACTTAATTTACTGTAATAAATGTTTGCTTTTTTGTCCACTTAAGATTCTGAGAACATTACAGCAACTTGTGAAGTGGTAGCTGAGTTGGTGGAATGCCTGCAGTCTGTCTTGGCTCTGGGGCACAAGAAGAACAGTCCTATCCCCGCATTCCTGACCCCTGTTTTGAGGAACATCATCATCAGCCTGTCCCGGCTGCCACTAGTCAACAGCTACGCCCGGGTTCCCCTCCTGGTACGTATTGAACCTGAGAAGCTGAAGTGTTGTTTTTTCCTGCTTAGCCCGTTCTTGTTTTCAGAGGAGCGAAATCCCAGTTTTTGTATTTCGAGATAACCTATATTTATTGTTGCAAATGCCTGCTTCTTTTTATTCTCGGTCTTTATTCAGGAACAAAATGCCCCAAAAGCAGAGCTTCCAAATTGCTACCGTGTTTCCCCGAAAATAAGGCTCTGTCTTATATATATATATTTTTTTTGCCACCAAAAAAAGGCACCAGGTCTTATTTTGGGGGGATGTCCTCCACTGACTAACCTCACTTGTGTGCGTCACCCCCTGGCCTCCTTGTCACCATCAGAGGCCTTCAGGAATTTCTTCTGCGACCGGCAAGGCTTTCCTGAAGGCCTCTGCAGCCCATAACGGAGCTCTGGATCAATCCAGAGCTTTGTTCTCCGCTCCAGAGGCCTTCAGGAAAGCCTGGCCAGCCTTGCTGGCTGCAGAAAAAATGGGCTGGCAAGGCAGGTGTTGGCATGTGCGAGGCCTGGCTACAACTGTCCGAAGGTAAGTAGTAGGGAATCTCCACCACCACCCCATCCCCACCGTAGCTTAATTTTTACCTGTCCACTCTGGAGTGGGCAGGATCTTAATTAGGGCTTATTTTGGGGGGGGTAGGACTTATATTTGGCGCATGTGTAAAAATTCAAACTAGGACTTATTTTCAGGTTAGGTCGTATTTTCGGGGAAACAGGGTAGTATTAGTGTACAAGTAGCCCTCAACATACAACTGCAATGGAGCCCAAAATTTATATGGCTAAATGGTGGCAAAAAATATATATAAGACAGAGTCTTATTTTCGGGGAAACACGGTAGCAATTAAGTGAGTTTTGCTCCACTTTATCGCTTTTCTTGCCACAGTTGTGATGATTTTTTTTCAGTGATGTTGTAACTTTGAACAGGCACTAGGTGGACTGTTGTAAGTCAAGGACTACTTAACTATTTCTCCACCCTTCTATGTTTGCGATAGGTCTGGAAATTGGGCTGGTCCCCCAAGCCGACAGGTGAATTTGGCACGACATTTCCCGAAATTCCTGTGGAATTTCTCCAAGAGAGAGAAATCTTCAAAGAATTTATCTACCGAATTAACACCCTGGGTAAGTCCCGGCGACTGGAAATGAGTTTCAGTCATGAAAGCTGAAGGCTTTTGATACAGGTGAACATTTAAAAATCCCTGTTAAGAAGGTTTAATTCTGGGTGAATTTGCCTGAATTCTCTGCCATCCTAAATAGCCATTGTAGGACTGAAGAACCAGACCAGACAGAGTTCCTGAGATCTGTTATGCCCCCGTCAGAGTCTGAATCTGAGACAGAAGATAGACAGCTGACAGCGGGAAAGTGGCTCTGTTGGCTGTGGAGAAACTGAGGAAGAGCAAACTCAGTGTCACGCCCCTGTTGGAGATTGACTCCGAGGGAGAGGAGGAACAGCCGACAGGGAGTGGAAGTGTGGTTGTAGAGGAGGCTGGGGAAGGGCAGATGCCGGCTGGGCAGTCAGAGGAAGACCCAGGCCTATTCTCTCTCCATCCTAGGTGCAGGGAGGAGAGGAGAAGGGAGAGACAGGAATAACATGGTCTACGGGGGAGGAAAGGGCCTTGATCCTTTTCATGGGCTGCCACTGTGAGAACTGGTTAAAAGGACGGACATGCGTATGGGCCAGTGCTGGAAACAAAGCGTGGAAATATTTCTAGTCTGTCGTTCCTCTCTGAGTTTGGCGTCCTTCCCTGTGTGTGTTCCGATATCTGTGGACGTCTTCAAGCCCTTATCTTGCCTGGTTCCCTTAATTGTTTCAGTGTGGTTTGTGTTGTTTTTACTCTTTATAACTTATAGGCATTTTTAGTTTAAACGGCATTTCCTCCTTTTCGTAACTGCTTGTGGGGGAGTTTTTTTGTCTCCAGTCAAGGATATTTGGAGCTTTGAAGCAAAGTGAAGGAATAAAAGGAACTTCACCTGTTTTTGTGACTGTGTTTATTTTGTATCCTACCCTGGGTCATTACAGTCAGGCTGGGCAGAACAGGGGAGAGGTAAAACAAGGGAGAGGGGGCTCAGAGGAAGACCAAGGCCCACTGCCTCCTCATCCTAGGGAAGAAGGCAGAAGAGAGCAACATGGGTAGCGTGGCTTATGAGAAAGGAAAGGGCCCCGATTCCCTTCACAAGGCACGTCTGGGGAGGGAGTTTAAAGGAAAGGCAGTTGGGAGGGGGGTTTGTCAGGAACAAACACTGAATTCATCTAGTGTTGAGAGTTGTGTTCTGCATTCCTCCTGACTGCTGTGCTTCTGTGTGCTTATCTTGCTTTGCTGGAATTATTGGACTCATTATCTTGCCCTGCTGGAGTGATTGATTGCATTCATTCTGCCTACAACGTTTGGACTAGAGTCTCTGCAGCCAGAGAGTTTTTCTCCAGGCCGGAGAGTAAGCAGGACGTTGGGGGAAAAGACCCTTGTGATATTTGTTTCTCGTTATTTCGCTTGTCCTTCCGGTTTTAAAGTAAAGGAGCCTGAGAGGCTCTGGATTCCGGAAGGCTAAATGTTGATTGATGTGTCGTATTTCTAAAGCTGCCCGTCTCACGGCAAGTCTGTGGTTTTTACCTGTAGGGTGGACAAACCGCATGCAGTTTGAGGAAACCTGGGCCAGCCTCCTGGGAGTTCTTGTGACCCAGCCGATCGTCATGGATCAGGAGGAAAACCAGCAAGAGGTAAAATAATCAGGTGTCCTTGGTGCCCTCTGGCTGTGGTCTCTCTCTCTCTCTCTCTCTCTCTCCTTCCCTCTCTCCCCCCTCCCCCTCTCCCTCTATCTCCCTCTCTCCTTCTCCCTCTCTGTCTCTGTGTGTTTGTGTGTTTCTATATCTCTGTCTCTGTGTCTCTGTCTGTCTCTCTTTGTGTCTCTGTCTCTCTCTCTCTCCCTCTCTCTCTCTGTCTCTTTCCCTCCCTCTCTGTTTCTCT